TACATGTTTCATTCAAGAAATCTAGTATGTATTTCTGTTGGGAGGCTAGAACACCTTTCTTGTTTTTAGCTACTTCCATTCCAATGAAACACCTGAATTGTTCTAGATTCATAATTTCGAACTCTTAAGTGTTTTATTGATTGCTGTACTCTTTGAGTGCCATCAACATATATAGTGAGAATGGTTTTCTTTTCACATATACATGCAACTTGGTTTGATCAACTCATCTTTCATCACATTCATAACACCTTATGGTCTATGTGAACTGCTTGAACCAAGATCTAGGTCATTACTTAAATGAACATCTTCAATTTTTATGCTATCACACTTCCATTTTCTTCTTCAACTCCGTGTAGAATGTTCATGTATACATTTTAATTATCTCTTCACATTTTTTATTTCTTCTTGAGTAAATCCACAATTCTTTTTGTGCTTATAATTCTATCATTGAATCCTAATTTTATCTTGTCTATGGCATTTTTGTTCTTTCATTTTCTTCTTCAAAATCCATGTGGCAAGTTCAGTATAAAATTTCATTACTCTTCTCATGTTTCATTTCTTATTAAGTAAACTCACTTTTTTGAGCTTATAATTATCCTCCCGAATCCTAATTTTTTCCTGTTAATGGTATTACGGATGAAATTTTATCTAAGTTTGGGGCTTCTTGACAAGGATCATGTTGAGAAGTTCCAGTTATAAAAGGCTTGGGGTTAGGTTGAGATAAAGTTATTGCGAGAGACGGATGAATCCCAACACCTCTCTTCACATAGAATCTCCCTTGAAAAGAGGTGGGGTTGATAAATGGTTGATGTTATGAGAATGTGAGATCCAAAAATTCAAGTTTAGTAGCTAGGAAGTTATGCTAGTATCCCTTCTTAGTTTGAGGCTAGCTAAGTAAGAAACAATTAATAAGGTACCCAATTTTTCCTTTGTTGGATTAATAATTATGCATGAAGGAAGAAGTTGTCAAGCAAAATGAGCAAAATAGGTTTGAGGGTGGGTGTTAAGCAGCACATTAGATTAAAACCAATGTTTAAAATTGCGTATTCGGGTATTGAGGCGTTTTTCATTCGTGAGGCGAGGCGTAAGCCTCAAGGCGTTTTGAAACGTAAGCCTCAAAATCAAAAGATTGCGTAAACATAAAATGATAAATTTTTTATATACTAATTGAGTGAATAATATAAAATATAAAAAAGCATAAGATATGAAGTGAAATTAAAATATCTCAATAATAAGACAACATGAAATATAGTTCAACTCAAAATTCTATATTTCTCATATCCCAGTATTCTTTTCATTATCAAATAATTCAAAATTCCAAAAATAAATAGTAATGACATATCACATAAGAACTCATAAGTCGTCAGCATTGTCATCACTAAGGAGTTCTTCATTTTAATCATCATTATAATGAACTTCTCTCTCCCCTTTCTCATCTCCTATAGAGTCCAATTTTGGGCATTTACTTCAAGATTTATGTAAGTTTTAATGTATATAGCGTGAGGCGTAAGCCTCATGCCAGTGAGGCGAGGCGGGCCTCAACCAAGTTGAGGCGCAAGCCTCATAAAAAAAACTCGAGGTGTAAGCATCGAGGCGTTTTTTACTGGAATTGCGCAAAGGCGGGCCTCAAGTCGAGCCTCATATTGCGCAATTTTAAACCATGATTAAAACTAAATACACGAGTAAATTCCAATGATCATTGATTGTACAACAACAAGGAAGCTTGTTCTTCTACTAATTGCATCCACTACACAATTACACCATCCTTCTATATGCTTAAATACAAAGCTGAATTTTTTTGTAGAAACATCATCCATTGGATATGCATTTGACTTGTGATTGTAAAAACTGAACTGATTGGTGGTCAACAAACGACACAAACTCTTAGTACAACAAGTAGTGTTCCCATTGTTTTCTTTGAATTTTTGCTCGTACGTGACCATTGCTTCATTTTTTAACTCAGCTTTTCATTGATGAATTCAATCAAGCTCTTATATCCACTACGAATGCATCACCTTCACGTGGAATTGATTTTCAAAATTTGGCAAGGCTAACTCAAGAGCTAGACACAGGAACACCTTCAAATACTTGAAGCTTGATTTTTATTTGACTCCCTATGTAAAATTTTTTTTGATAGTTTGTGATTGATGCCATGATCACACTAAACCTTCATGAAATATTTATAGAAATTTGTGGGTTAGCCTCTGTCTTGATGCAATAAAATCCAGAAATACATACTATTTGCAACAAAATCACATTTTGCTAGATTAGGGTAAAGTTGCTAATTCTGCAAGGTTGTCAGTACTTCTTTCAAGATGATACGAATGGTTTTCCATCGAGGAGCTGTAAACTAAAATATCTTTAAAGTTAGCAAACACAATATACTAAGGAATGATTTGAGTACTTTATTCATGAATCACTTGATTGTGTTTGACGCATTGCACAATTTGAACGACATAACTCTCGACTCATATAGTCATTTGGTTTTGAAAGATGTCTTCTATTCATCATCAGCTTGAATGTGTATTTGATAATATCAAACTCTAAAATCTAATTTAGAGAATGTAGTAGGGACCTTTGAAGCTTGTCTAGTTGATCTTCTAGTCATGGCATAGGCAAACGATATTTAATCATAATATTGTTGATCATGCGGCTATCGATGTGCATATGCCATTTTCCTTTTTTCTTTGGCAAAAGTTGCACCGATATAGTGCATTAACTTGAATTATGTCGAATGAGTTGCTTCCTTACAGGATCATCTACAATTTCGTAAAGAATCTTGTGTTTCTTTGGGTTTATCTGGTAATGCAATAAATTTGGAAAATTAGAGTGTGGAATTAAATTTTTTTGTTGTTGAATTATTTGCATGGTAGGTAGTTGATTCAGAATTTTTGAGGCGGTGTGGTCTTTAAATTGCTACTAAATGTATTGAACACTTGGGTGTAAATTGCTTATTGTCGTTGGTTCTCTCCCTTATGGGTAGTTGTAACAGTTCTGCATTCTAGCACTCTCGTTGTAATCGGTTAACAACTTGGAATTGGAGATAGTGATAAATGCAGCATTCTTTGTGGACACTAGCTTGTGAGCATCTGGTATTAAGAATAATCAAATCTTTTTGTTTTTTCACTCAAAAGATATATGCATTGGGACAACAATCATACCACACCCAAAGCATATGCCAAGGTCAACCCATTATGATGTGACAAACTTCTGTGTAAGACAACACAAATCTTCACAACCGAAATATTTTTGAACGGAAAAAGAAACCTTCCACATATCAACTATAGGCACTTCAATTCCCTCATGAATCCACTTTGTATGGATGTTGAAATTTAGTGGTCTAGAATTGTAATATATTGAATACACTATACAAAGTGATATTTTCAATGCATCCACTATTAACGAATTAATCACATACATTGCTATCTATGGTCCATCCTATTTGAAAAATTACATATTAATTTGTTGCTAATTGCCTAGGTAGCAACAAAATATTTTTTAAAATATAGGAAAAAGCTCCACCAACCAACAGCCCCCCCGCCATGGAACTCATCAGTGATCAGCAGGATTTGCTAGTTTTTCCTATCCTTGATCCTCCATCCATTGTAGTTGATTTCTATTAGGGCACTTGTTGGAACAACTCTGGTTGTATAACATGTAAAATATTTGGACAGCTCCAATTTGTGGTAGTATCTCGGTAGTTATTTTTCACTTGTGCCATAAGTTCAACAAGGGCAATAGGGTTGTTAGCCAATTTGAATTGAAGAGAGTTTATTTTAGTGTTGGATGTATTCCCTACCCACATCTACCACAGGTTTGCCTGGTACTTGTTGAGCAAACCTCAATTTAGGAGTCTTATTTTGTTGTAATTTCATCATGCATGCGAAATTCACGTCTTGGGATATATAGACCAAACTATATTAATCTTAAGTTTGTCTTGGATTCTTTTAAGCCTCCAAAGTACCATGCTACCAGTTAGTGAGTTTCATTAAGGTTGTTACGAAAACTCTTCAATATGACCACTTACAGAACAACTCTCCATCTGCATATTTGGTATTGAAGATGGAGCATTTGTTCATAGTCGGAAGGCAAAAAATAAGCTTGCTGCATTTGCTTCATTCGCTGCTAGTTTTTAATATTTTGCACCTTTCTGGATTAAGAGATTAAGCAATTTAACCAACCATGCTCCTACACCACCCGTTAGTCTACATGAGCGTAATTCACTTGTTTTTCTGAAGGAATCTTCTTACATTTAAAGAATGTTGTGACCGCTTGCCCTCAATTGAGGAAGTCTTGGACGAGATGATGAATCAAATTGTTGGGATCTAGGTACGTCTTGATTCACCCTCAACAATCTTGCCTATTTCTGACTTGGTCCCTGGGCTTGCAATGCTCTTTTAGTTATTAAAAGAGAAGAAAGCAAACTTTTGCGCAAGGAATAATTAGGATGTTGTAGTCATTCGTGCCATAAAATAATATTTTTTGGGAATTCTAATAGTGGTAGTGTTGCTATGCAATTGCTCACGACCGTTAATATCATCAAGATAATATAAATTCATTACAAATCATGGCATCGGAAAAGATGAAAGAATCAAATTACACACCCAACTAAACCTTTTATCCAAAACAATTTAATTAGATGCATCGACCATTGAATTTTTACATTATTGGGGAAGTATATTAGAAATAAGCTTGGTGTGATTTTACGGTATATGGCCAAACGCACTAGAATCTACGGGCCCTGTCCGTTGAATTTTACACTAGAAATAGAGGAGCCATTACTTTTTTGGGGGGAGGCTATAGAAGAATTAGGAGAACTTGGCACTTGTAGCCCTAAAATTGATTGAGGGAAGCTCGCAAAAGTGGAGTGTTAGATTAGTATGTGGAATTGACTGATTGTTTTTCCATCACCTTATTCTACATTTATCTTTGAACCAATTGTTCTTAAGAGTTATTTCTTCAAATAACAAGTTTTTAGAGCATGATCTTTTGTTGTGCAGATTAATTCGAATGTGGAGGTCAATGCTAGATTGCCATCAGAGGCAGTTTCAGGCTATTGTTGAAGCCAGAAGCCAGAAATTTCTATTTAAGTCTATTTCACCGCAGAGTTTGACTGCCAAAGTCACGGCAGATCTGGAGCTTGAGCTAATGAACTGGTGCTCGTGTTTCAGCAACTGGGTCAGAGCTCAAAAAGCTTATATTGAATCACTGAATGGATGGCTAATGAAGTGGCTTCATCAGGAGCAAGAAGAAACGCCTGATGGTATTGCACCATTTTCTCCAGGTAGAATTGGAGCTCCTGCCATTTTTGTCATCTCCAATAATTGGCTCCATATCACAGAAAGGACATCCGAGGATGAGGTACTATCAGCAATGCATGCCTTTGCTACGAATTTGCACAGATTATGCGAAAGCCAGGATGAGGAACAGCAGCAGAAACTGAAGGCGGAGTATTTATCGAAAGATTTTGCCAGGAAGTTAAAGGCTCTGCAGAAGCAGAACACAGTGAACGAGCATCCAGATGCTGCAGCACACAAGATTACCATGTCTGCTTCCAATGATATTACGGACTTAAATAGTGGACATATGATGCGCTTAGATCTGATGCGAAAGAGGCTCAACGAAGAAAAGGCGAAACATAGAGAGGCCATGAAGCAAATTCAAGAAGTAGCATCCTGTAGCTTGAAGACTGGCTTGATTCCGATATTTGAAGCGTTGGAAAATTATAGCTCCGAGACGCTCAAATGTTACAATGAACTTCGCGTACCGAGAAACGATACATGAGCACTTTAAATTCAGGAGCTCCATTTTGATTGAATCTATATGACTATATGAGCTGTAGCTCCAATTGTGCGCAACAAGTTTTCTGGTGCAGAAGCTGGGGATCTGGATTTATTGACAACAAGTTGAATCCAGAGTTCACATAAGTCTTACATGGAAGAACGTTCAAGCATTGGAGGCCTGTAAAGACTAAGAAATGGAGCTTAATTGGTGTGTATGTGTGACACATCAAGGATAATATTAAGCCGATCTGTATCATTTCATGTAGCTTATTGATCAGTTAATTAACTTGTAAGAGGTCATGTTTCCAGTTGGTAGCGGCCTTCAACTTTTCACTCATGGCTTTCTTAGCTACATGGCTCTGAAATTTGTATGTTAACCTTAAGCTTAGATGACGGATTTGTACACAAGTAGGATGTAAAAGAATGTAGCACATTATTATTTATTTTAATTGAAAAATTTTATGAAACTGGGATGTAAAATTTTTTACCTCTCTTGCTTTACTGTTGTTTTTTTTTTAATTTATTTATATGGATGTTGTTCGGGTAATTTAATGTTATATATTTCATATTTTCTAAAATTAGAGAGATATGATTATTATTTTAATTTTTTGGGAGAAATATTCGAAGTTTTACTCGGATCAAAATACATGGAATTTGAAGAGACGTTCAATTATTGTAGAAGTGACCTTTCGAGTAAAAAGTTGTTCGGTTATTTCTATTTTGGGGTTTTTACATACATAACACACAAAAGTATTTTATTTACTCATCTTGCATTTAAACTTATATATTTACATGCATACCACCTTAATGACCTAATCCTCATCAAAATTAACACGTCGTTCGACTCCCGTGAAAACCACGTCGCGAATACATCCTCTCGTGCGCTGAAAACAGAGCAGCTCTCTCACGTTGCCTGCCGCTCTGTCATCTCGCGTTGTCTGCAGCTATCTCATCTAGAGTTGCATTCATCTACCATCAACTCACCTTCCCTCCTTCCCATTGGACCGACACCGATGCAGGCCTCCTGCCAGTCGCATTGCCTACAGCTATCTCATATAGAGTTGCCTTCATCTACCATCTAAACTCTTTAACGTTGCAGCTCACCTTCCCTCCTTCCCATTAGCCCGACGCCGGTGCAGACCTCCCGCCAATTTATTTTTATCCGCCGGTTATATTCAGGTAAATCCATTTCATTATTCTGATTGAAGATTATACATAAACGAAAAAAAATGTAAAGAGGTCACCGTCGGATCTCTATTCACTTTGCAGCTCACATTTGCTTGAGATGTTTTACCCTTTTTTTTTGGATGTGGTCTGCTGGAGTTAGCCTCCAGTTAAGCAAACAGACTCATTTTATGCGAAATCTTACTTTGCCTATAGCATTTTAGTTCGATTTGCTGCGATGCTTTGATTCTCTCAAGCTGAAGCTTGGGCAAACGGATGCAGATGCTTTAAGGTATATAGTTATTTATGATTGTGTTTGAACCTTTCATGGAAAGCGAAGCTTGGGCAATGATTTGGTAAAAACTTGTTTGAGGGAGAATTCGCCAAGCTGCAGATGAAACAAATGATGCATATTGATAAAAACAGAACAGATCAGTTGAAGCTGCAGAGGAATCAGAATAAAATTCCTAAAGAGAAGGAATGTATGTGTCGCCACTAGCTGCCAAGCGGATAGATTCACAAAAGGAGAAGAAGAGCAGGTGAGATTCGCAAACTGTGTGATTCAAACATAAGAAATGCATGTGTCGCCCAAGCTGTAAATTCGTGAAATGTGCGATTCACATCAATAGAGGAAGCTGCTCTGCTCGAGTTAGGGGTTCCTGCGCTCTTTCGCAGTTTGGTGTTGATGGGAGGAGACGGAATGTTATTTTTGATGAGAATAAGGGTTTTAAGGTGGTATATAGGTAAATATGAAAGTTTAGGTGTTAAATAAGTAAATAGAGTTGTTTAAGTGTTAGGTATGTAAAAATCCCTTCTATTTTTAGCTTTTTTTTTATTCTCATTTTTAGATTTTCAGCAACACATCTTAGGCAATGATTAGAGTAGGAGACTTTATAATGATATAATTGTGATAAGATTTAGGTAATTTAATACTAGAATAATCACCTGAGACATATGAGGATTAATTTAACATTATTGTATTAAAAATGAAGTGGTTGTATTAAGTGATATTATAGCTTTTATCTATGGTATTATAGCTATCGTGATTGTACTTGTTACTTCAATAACAATATAATTGTTGTTATTTAATATAATGTTCCTTATTTTGTGATTGTATTATGATGTATTATACTCTATTGTTTAACATAATCAAAATATATTCAAATATTAGCTAAACCTTATTTGAATCATGTATGAACTTAGTTCAAACCTTACATGAAGCCTACTCGAATTGGAGTACATGGTTCAAATAGGGTTTGAACAATATTCATGCATAGTCAAATATTTCTCACATATGATCCCAACCTTAATCGAAACTTATGTGACCCTTCTTTGATTTTCAAATTAAATTTGATCGTGACAGACTTAAAACTTAGTATATGATCAAATGCATGCATTTGTTTTTGGATGAACATAACAGTTGGGCATATTTCCCCAAGAAATGAGCATATTTTCCCAAGAAATGAGCATATTTTTTTTCAGATTTTGATCATTATGGGGCATGATACATCATTGAAAACACCTAATCATGTAGGAATCTCGATGCATATTTGAATTAAAAACATCCAAAATTAATTCAAAATCATCAAAACTCTGATTTCAACAAACTTGTAGTCTAACTGAACATCTCTACGAGAAGAACACAATGATATCAAAGTAGTCCAATCCAAGTTTGAATGAGCCAGATCAAGCACTTAAAGCACAATTAAAAACTTCAAAAAATTTAATTAGTTGATCAAATAATTTCTAAATCTTGCATTCTTATAATCAAATCAAGTTTCTTAATAAGAAAATCCAATGATCTTGTCCTCCCTTAATTCCAACAATATAAATGTAATTACATGCTGAACATACGGCCCATAATCAATGGAATCAATACAAGACATATATTGGGCATTCCACTAAAAATATATATAAATATGCCCTCACTCTTTACATAAAAGAGGAGGTAAAGTGATGGGGGCTACGCGGTTAATGGTGTGCACGACACATAGAGCTATAGTACAATATAAATGTGGTTAGATTTTTTATATATAAAAAATAATAAAAGCCCACTACATACACAAGAATATGTGTCAATCAAGTAATAAATTGAAATAGATGAGTGTTGATCCCATGAGGAAGTATTCTGCTTAATTACAAATAAACTACTACTGTTTAATATAGATGAATGATTTATCCTACTGAATATAGAAAGATTATTTTTTGAGTTTTTTCCACTTAATAGAGACTTAAAAGAAAATTGGATACTAATGAAAATAAAGTGTTTTGCACTAATGTATGCAAGACAATATAATTTTCCTAAGGAAACACTTATTTTTAGATATGGATCAAAGCATATATATCCCTAGTTCTCTGTTGAGCTTGTAAGAGAGAAAATGAAGTTTTATGGCCTTCCTATGAATGTAATATCTCCATAGAACTAGAAGGTTTAACATCCTATATCTAGGCAAGCTAACATTCTATTTTAACACTTCTATTTGTTCTAATATTCCTCTATCGAGGTAATATATCACGTTATATATTAACAACACACATGGTCATTGTATGCATTAAATTAAGAATGAGAAATATTAAAAATATCTATATACTAATTTAAGAAAAAGAGTGTATATTAGTACTTGCTATATGTTTAAATCATTAGCAAGACATAGATAACACAAAAAGCAAATTCATGTTCATTTTATTCATAAAAGAAAATGATACATGAGATTTCACAAAGATAAATGTCACTCAAAATGATCAATTGTTATTCTTCACACTCCTTCCTCCAACAATATAACAGCTTACACAATATAGGCTAAGATGTCCCAAAGAAAGTATCTAGTACTCACCTAGTCTCCCTTAGACTTTACTCTAAAGGGAAACTAAATAGAAACACTCAAAAAGTATAAGAATCCATTTATAATGACTGAATTTCCAAGTAAAATAAACTGAAAAGCTATTTATAACAAGTGTATGAATGACTTAGGCATTACGGTGCTTGACTTGGTGGTGTCACGACGATATAATATGAACCAACATATCAGTGCTATTGGTCTTCACTACCGGAAAACCAACTATTTACGGTGGCAAAATATATCACAAAATTTAAGAAATTTACCGCAAATCTTGATTTACGAAAGAATAATCTCTATTGAAATGACTGCTTCATTTGTATGGTCCACCGCAAATTCTGTTAAAAATGCGGTGGATAATCCGCCACAATTTGTGATGGATAGATCTGTCACAAATGTCCATACCAGGTCATCATATCGACATTTGTGTCAAATATTTCAATGCAAATCCATAAAAAATTTGTAGCATAACAAAAAAAACTGTTACAATCATTTTTTGGGCTTTCCAACATTCATAATCCAAACAATTATAAAAAATAATTATATTAAAAATAAATATAATCAAATAATACTACTTAAACTGCACAAATTAATGAACAAACAACCACATTTAAAAAAATTAAACAAAAATTATAACACTGTTATAGTTTTAACATAACTTATACATCAAATGACATAAAACATATCAAAAGCCATCTTATGTGACAATCTAATTTGAATATGTAAGCTCATTGCCCTTCTTGGTCGATGGAGGCACATGTCTTCTAAGCTAATTTAATATCCGAGTGTTCATGTCACTTATATTTTTTAACATTTTTTAACTCTGTTGTTAGTTAGCCACCTGCTTAATAACTAAAGTTTTCTGGCTGCCTGCGAAGTGGTAAGTAGTTGAAGAGGATCGTCTCTCGTACGCGAAGGCCTGCAAGACTAATCCATAAATTTGTCCCTACTGCATTTCTCCTATTACCTGCGTCTAAGTGTGTTTGTTAGAAATACATGCAGAACCCATAGAGGATCCCTCTCTAGCTATAGTCTAGATCTCCTAAAGTCATGCATACTCATATTACATATAAAATATAATATAAGTTTTATTATCATATAATCATCACTTGCAAAAATTTTGTAAGTGTACTATTCTGATATACCTACATATGCCCTCCTAGCTTGCTCATCTAATCATTGCTGGTCCTGTTGATGCTTATGAGTGTGACTATGTAACTGAACCATAGTGGGCACTCACCAACATCTCCTTCACAATATGCTTTGATTAGAATACATATACAAAGAAATTATTAAAGTTTATTAAAGTTCTTTCCAATCGTCATCTATGATTAGTGTGTGGAACTGAGCCCACAGTATATAGGGAGTTATTGGTTAAAAAAAGTGAACTTGAAAGTTAATTTTCTTTGGGAGAATTTCAATTTTTAGAATTTTAATTTTTAAATCGAACACATTATTATGAAGTTATTAGCTCATGAGATAATAGGATCAGATTATAAAATTTTGGATTCATCCTGATCATCGTAGTTATATTCCAGGAATAATTATATATGATACCAAAGGGTCAAAATGATATTCATTCTAGTATTTGACTGTGATAATCTCTATAAAAAATCATTAATTTCATATTTGAGATAATGGTAGTAAATGATATATCTTTCCATGGACCGAAGATATTGTTTACTATCGATGGGGGATAAAGAAAATATGGATGGGTGTCTAAGGACACCTACCATACATGTTTTTCTTAGCGTAGTGGGAAGGCCGAATTTCTTGTAGTTTCCCCTAAATGGGGTAGACTCTAGAAGGCTGCCAAAAGTTTATCTGAAAATACATAAGACTTCGAGTAAAATAGGGGATTTTATTTGGACTTGATTTGAACAATTAATTGGACTCAATGCAAACTTCAAAGAATAAATAAAAGACTTGAGCTTACTGTGAACAAACATAAATTCAAATGAACAAAAAGAACTTAAATGAATGGACCATATAGGATTATATCTGAACTCAAATTGGACTCAGGCTGAACATTGGCTTTAATTCAGATCACAGCAATTAAGCTAGAACTTGAATTTGAACTAAATATCAAAGACTTGAACAAAATTTTAACAACAAGGGTCTCGAACGAATGGAAGAGACTCATCTTGAGCCTGAACTATAATTGAACTCAAACTTGAACTAGACTTGGACTCAAATGGGCATTGAATAAATGATTTAAGTCTTAATTTGAATCAAGATCTTGACATGTAAAATGAGATTAATGAATTGTAAAAATGATGAAATCAAAGACAAGTAAATGAATGATGGTTTATACATAAGTTGACTACAAACTTTGATATGGAATTTATGAGCAACAACAATCATCTTATGATGATCATCTTGATTAGAATAAAACATTGATGATTATGGAGCCAAGCTAATCATACATGTCGGCAATCTTTTAAGTGGAAAAGGATTATATCAAAGAGAAGCAACAAAGAATAGTCATAATCTCAATTGTCAAAAGATCTCTCTAACATGTGGCTTGAAATACTTGTCTTCTAAGGATGCCCCTAATAATGCATCACCTCTTTCAACTCTTATAACCTGGCTTAGGAAATGTTCAAAAGGTATGTTCAAGCTCTCTCCAGAAATAATTACTAATGTTATATTTATAGGAAGTGTTAGAAGTAGACTATTAATCAGCTTGCAGCATTATCATCAAAATGTTGAAGGTATGTAGAACTTAGAATTTAAAAGAAATAAAGAGGAAGTCAGCCATCCAATGGAGGATGGATTAATTGCTTTCAGTGAAGACAAGCATAAATCAAATATAAGTAAAAACATGTTTCCATCAAGAAGAAAGAGGTGTGGTCATGCTGCATCTATTGGTCATAATAGTTCTATGTCTAATTATAGTAGAAGCATCTGAAGGAATTGAGGTAGAATAGTGTAGCTAAGATGGAGGCAGCCTTAGACTACCCAGATGTTAATAATGGAATGCTAGAAGATTAAACAACAGAAGAGGCTCTTTTAGAGACTGTTGTGTCATCTGAGGTGATTCGAACTGGCAGATACGAGAGGCGTAATATGAAAGATGTTGGATGTGGCCAATGAAGTAGAGAGGATATTATTGAAGAAGAGGATGAGGCGTCAACTTTAAAAGCAAAGATAAAGAAGTTTCTCATCACATGATCATCCTAATAGTGTGTTTAGTGAACGTCTATAAACTGGTGAAGGAGGCCCGTTACATGTTTAACATGTGATATGTGGGAATATACGATAGAACTATAATAGATATACCACTATACAATCTATCTCAGTATATAATCAAGTGTATCAAATCATGCAAGCAATGAGTAGTAGAAATTATTGAGAATCTGGCTATTCATATGAAAGAAACTTGAAATTTCTCCTATAAAAGTCAAAGGATTACGACAAGTACAATTTTGTATGAGTCATAACAGGAAATTCATTAGTGCACTACCATCCACTTATAGAAAGTAACAAGTAGTACACGATAGTCTACCTGTATACAATTGACAAATGATTATAGTTCTACGTAATGCCACTGGATCCTCAACATCCCTACAAATGGACAAAAGGCATTTACAAACATCCAAAAATACCACTATATATGCACCATAATTTATAGGCGAGCGTGGTATGGGTACACAAGCGATGTCTAGAGATACTATGTGGGTCAATAAATAAACTAAAATTCAAGTCCGGTCATTCCATATGGATAGATAGGAGTAAATATAGTTTGAATTATAAAATATATATACAGTCAAGGTGTCGACCGGAATATATATTTTATACGTCTATATAAGACCTTCAAGGTCTATGACAAAAAAAATTCATTAAATAAAATCATACAGCTAACAAACCTGATCGCCTATCGACAAGTTGATATGGTCGACAAGGTTTAGTTAATTAAAATGCCTAATCACCCTGATGATGATCACGTTGATAGAAGATCTCAATCGAAAGGATTAATTTCAAATATTTCAAAATATTCTCAAACTTACACCAAAATTCAAATATTTTCAAGCGATTTTAAAGTCAACCTGATAATGGTTGTGTTAAATGTAGATCTCAACCAGAGGGGTAATTCCAACATTCAAAGCTCCACCCAAATACCCACGAAAATCCCAAAAAAATCCTAATTCCAAATAATTAAAATTGAAATCAACCATTTAACCACTTAAAGTAAAATTCATCTACCCTTCACAACAGTTTGTTGGGTGGACAAACTAAAATTTATTTCGGCTTACATTAAGTTAATGCCTAGTCAAAAATATTATTTTGATTCTCAAATAATATCCCGCTAACTGGCATTTTGCCGTCAAATGACACTGCAAGATAAACGGTTATGATCTAGGGCCATCTAAACCGAGTCAGTATGTTCCTTAGTGGCATCAAATCTTTGAGCTATGAATCAATAGGATATAATCGATAGGGCACAAAGCCCTATGTCACTAAGGTGGATTCAAATTTGTCCCGTTATTTAAATACATATCTCAGGTCTATAAGGCACCCTTGGAAGAAGTAACCATGGCTGCTGATAGGGATCTTTCTGTCATGTTGGGTCGACTACCTCCTCTAACTAAGTAGACCATGGACCATGATGACCTAGAACGACGGAACCATGGGATCTTAATTGAGTTCATCATTCATTCCCCTACCATCCGCTTTAAGTGCAAGATGGTGAAATTTCTACATTTAAATTTTAAATTTTCACATTTGCAAAGTCATGCTGCTATAATATGTCAGATAACACGTATTTTTATGTATCTGATCAAAGTTAGCCTTAATTGAAAGTTCTCTCTCGTTATCAAAAGGGGTAATTAACTATAGGGGATTGCGCCTATAGGAAACTAGATCATAAAGTCCTCGCAAAATGAGGTCAAAATATCTAGGTAGTGTCTTATCTACAAACCCATATGTATTCCCAAAATTTACCTAGAAACTTAATTCGTTAAAACTCTCCGAAAAGGCATTAGGGGAGGCCGGGGTCGAATTTTTGGAGCTCACAATGTAATGATTTCTTATATAAAAAAAAATTAAAATCTGATTTTGAGGTTAACAAAAAGCTGTTGCCATCTTTCAAAAAATTCTTCATGAGATTGGATAAATGCTAAAAGTGCTCACCATTTTGAATTTTATCACAATATATTTTCATTTGAGCTAAATACTCGATTAATTTGATAAGCAATTGCTCTTAGCAATTAAAATTAGTAGATAAATTTGTATTTTGTTAAATTCTGTAAATGTTGGGATTTAGTGGTTATTTCGTTTGTTGAAAAAAATAATTCAAAGTATTCCTTTTCACGAAAAAAGTAAAATTTAGATATTTGATTAGCTGAAAAAGAAATACATTGTAAATTTTTAAGGATTTTTTCTTTTTACTATTTGGTTCACTTTTAATGTATTATAAACTCACTAAATTTTTGTCTATTTTTTTTTTACAGCAAGTTAACCTCATTATCATCGTCTGACACCACCACTAACCTGTCAGTCACCGTTGATGTACACCACTTGTCGGCTCTCATGACTGTTGTCACATCTTACCGCTATCCAGACATCCTACCATTGGCCCCTCACTGTCACTCGTCGGCCACCATCAATCACTGTGGGCCATAACCAAGGATCACCCTCATCATTTTACTTTACATTATAGTACGTTTATTTTATTTCAAGTCAAATAAAAAAATAATCTCATACAAATTTGTTTGAATCGTGCTTAAGATAAAATACAATACACCATGTTCCTACCCGCCCGATAATGAGATCTACGTTGTGTCACCTGAACCAAGAATGTTCCACTCCATTTAAGCAAATAAACCAGCAACATCCAACCACGTCGGATGGTTAAAATATCTGGTCTAATTCTCATGCTCCCATTCTTAAAAGGCAACCCTATGGAGTAGGAAGCTTCCCTCCAGAGTTTTCTATCTTGAAGGCCCACTCCATTGCTTTACTCAACTCCCTTCATCTCAATACTTCGCGCTTCAGAGAGTGAGATCAGAATCTTTCTATTACTTTCAAGCTACGGCCATTTAATCGTTCTAAGCACCAACTCCAAGCTCCTTATATGTGTATATATATCTCTCCAACCAGCTTACATGAATACCATCAAAACACTTCAGAAAAAAACAGAAATTGTAGCATAGCTCAAAATTAAAAAAATCATTTCATACAAGAAAATACAATGTTCTCAACCTTCTTTTCAATGCTTCAAAATTTTCTTTTACTTGCAACCATTTTAGCTTCATTAATTTCTACAACAACTTCAACTATCGATGATATTGAAAGCAATGATATTGATCATTCGCCTTTCGAAAGCAATCATAGATGGTATTCATTCAGTTCCTTTTGCTTCTATATTTCTTGTTCATCATAATAGGAAAGTTTGTTTTTGTTATTTTTTTCGATGCCTTGCAGGAGATATGAATTTGATGAAGTAAGGTTGGAGATGGTTGAGAGGAAAGGAAATCAGTTTGTGGTAGGAGGGCAACCATTCTATGTGAATGGGTTTAATACCTACTGGCTCATGGTTCTAGCAGTCGATCCTTCGACAAGAGGGAAGGTTACAGAGACATTTGAACATGCTTCAGCAGTTGGTCTCACTGTCGGTCGAACATGGGCCTTCAATGATGGCGGGTGGAGAGCGCTACAGAAATCTCCTTCTGTTTATGATGAAGATGTCTTCAAGGTCTTGTATCATCATTATAAATATTCATTCGATAAATTTTCTTAATTTTTTTTATTAGATATGAAGTTATTGAGCGAAACATAAAGTATCTTTAAAAATAATAATAATAATTACTCAAATGAAAAATTACTAAAAATCCTTTGCTAACGTTTAAAATTTTATCTTATAAGATTGATTAATGAAATACATAATCTTTTACCATAATCTTTTACCTAAAATAAAGCTTTTGACTTGAAATTAAAATTTCATAAAATATATTTTTCTACTTAAATATTAATATTTTATTTAGATGTGAAGTCCTTAATTATCAATGGTATTTAATTTTTATGTAACATTGATTTAATTTTGTATGGACCAAATATATACACTTTATTATTATGCTTAAATTTAATGGAAAAATAATTAAACTACAAAATTAACATAAGAATCCAATGTAAAACACAAATACATATATTTACATTTACATTTATATTTATATTTATATTTTAATAAAATTAAAAGAGTGATCAATTAAAAATTTAAAATTTTATTAAAAATTTTAGTGATCATACGTTAAAAAAATGTAAACAAGTCATGTACATGTTCTATTGTATAGATTGATTACATGCATGTTTTTTATGCATTCATAATTTTATGAGTAGAGTTTATAGTTATATCAAACAAAATGCATGAAAGAAAAATTGAAAACAAAGAGGATTATAAACAAGAGGTAAAAAAATCATCACAGTGATGAAAAAGCTCATTCCATTCTTAGCAAACTATTAAATTAATTTTCTCCTTCATGGTTATGAAGCTAGCAATTTGTAGTTTCAAACGTCGTATAATATGGATCATAAATCTAGACAAGCAATGAGAGGCAAGTCAAATTAATCAAAAAATTTGATGATCCACAGTTGATTATTAACCAAACAACATGTCCTCTTTTTTTTTTTTGAAAAAGCAAACCATTTGCATTACCATAAAAAAAAAACTATTACAACCTACAAACATTATTATCAGATTTCTCCTTCAACAAACTAATAAAACGAGGAGGAACCTTTTTCATTCTTGATACGTCATCAAAAATCGTATTGAACATGCATGAATCTCAAGACATATTCAAGTTGGAAACTTTCAAATTTAAACTTGGGATCATCTGAATTCCATTTTAAGCAAATTTATAAACAAACTGAACGTCTCAAATAGACGAACCTAACGACACCAAAATCGATCCAACCCGAGCCCAAATGGGTCCAAATCGGGGGCCAAAACCACATTTGAAAGGATCAAAGTATTATTTGGATGACAAAATGATACCCAAATATGACATGCTTATAGTCAAATCGAGGGGATTGGCGAGAAAAATCCAACGAGCCCAAGATCGTTGGATTCCGAAATCATTAAGGCGCTTAAACAATTGAAAACTCTCTATGATTGACTGAATCAATACAAGCCATTCGATGGAGCACATTGAACCTACCCCCGTATCTTTTCTATATTTATAGGATGTGCCACTCATGAAAATCTATAAATAGAGCCCCACTCTCTACATGAAGGAGAGGAGGGGGGATAGAGATTTGAGAGAGCTCTGAGGCTTCAAGAACTCCAATATCACCTCCAGCGAACCCCTGTCAACCGCCGCTGAATTTCTACCTGGCCACAGACCTTCGTCGGACCACTGCCCAGCTTTCGACCACCACCAGACTTCCTCTATGGCCGTCGGACTTCCACGCCGACTGTTGACCACCATTGAACTTCCACCCCACCGCCGACCGCAGCCAGACTTTCACCTGATCACTGATCGCCGATGGACTTTAGCCTGACCGTCGTCAAGCCATAACCTGACGGCCGGCCGCCACGGAATTCAGCCCGAGCATTTTTGGACCACCACCGGTCGGTTGACTACCACCGAAATTCCATACGGACGCCGATCGCAGCCAGGCCTGACCGTCGTCAAGCCATAACCTGACGGCCGGCCGCCACGGAATTCAGCCCGAGCATTTTTGGACCACCACCGGTCAGCTGACTACCACTGAAATTCCATACGGACGCCGATCACCGCCAGACTTCCACCCATCTGGCAATCGACGCCTGAATTTAGCCCGACCGTCCTCGGACCACAACCCAGTCACCGACCACTACCAGAATTTTACCCAGCCACCGACCGTATCTTAATTTATACCGGACACCAGACTTTCGGTTGTCGCTAGACTTCTGTCAGACTTCCACCCGGACGCCAACTACAGCCGAACTTCCACTCGGTCGCTGATCTCCGCCGGTCTTTAGCTTGATAGTCGTCGAACCACCTCCTTACCATCGACCGCTGCCAGATTTTAGCCTGACTATCATCGGACCACCTCCCAGTCACCGACGGCCACCAGACTTCTGCCTGGCCACCTCTAAAATTTAGTGCGACTATCATCGGACCACCACGCGATGGCCAACTACAGTCGAACTTCAGCATGACTGTCGTCGAACCACCACCCGGCGGCCGACCTCCACAAAAATTCCACTCGGACTCCGACCACAGTCGGGCTTCCACCCGTCTGCCAATCAACGCCGGCTCGACCATTATCAGACCACCGCCCAGTCGCCAATCACCACCAAAATTCCACCCGGCCATCGATCGTAGCTGGATTTCTACTCGATATAGGACTTTCACCTGTCGTTGAACTTTCGTAAGACTTCTTCCTAACCCTAAACTTCCACCTATTGTTGGATTTTTACTAGACGTTGGACTTCTGTCTGTCGCCAAATTTCTACCCGACACCAGACTTCCACTCGTCATTGCACTTATGCAAGTAGTAAGACTTTCATCAAACTCTACCAGACGCCAGACTTCCACCCATTGCAAGATTTCTACACAACGTAGGACTTCCACTTATCGCCAGACTTTTGCTCGCCACTAACTTTCATCAGACTTCTACTTGACATCAAACTTTTGAACATCACTTGACTTTTGACCTCCGTCTTCAACCGACTACGGTATTTTCGATCTCCTTCACCAGACTACGGTATTTCCAACCTCCTTCGCTTGTCGACTATAGTCCTTCTAACCTACGTTGCTTGCCAACTATGGTCCTTCTGACCACCTCCGCCGACTACGGTCCTTTTGATCTCCATCATCAGACTACGATCTTTCTAACCTCTGTTGCCCACCGACTTGGTCCTTCTAACCTCCATCGCCCGTTGACTATGGTCCTTCCAACCTCATTCGTCGAATATGATACTTTCGATCTTCATCGCCAAACAATGGTCTTTCCAACCTCCATTTTCAGACTATGGTATTTTCAACCTCTATGACCCACCAACTATGGTTCTGTCGAATAAAACAAATATTTCATTACTAATTTTTCCAATTTCCACCATGTTATATGATGTACATTATCTAAATCAACCCAAGGCCTTCCCCCAAGTAAGGGCCTCATTTGTAATTGACTGCAAATAATAGTGGATTCATTCAAACTAGGTCAGGCCCCGTAGTTTTCCCCCTTTTTAGTGGTTTCAACATAGAAACTCTGATGTCTCTTATGAATGCTACACCCTCTCTCTTTATTTCTATGCATGATGATCTTTGTATAAAGCTAAGACGTTAAATTTTATAGTTCTCTATAGCCGTGAATATTCCAGGATGCAATAGTTTTGTGTCGTCTGTGGGAAACGTGATTCTAGAGTGGGTGCAATTTTTGCTCCAACCTCAAAAGGTCATTTATGTCAACATCCTGGTATAAGCTATTGCTGTATCAATATTATGAGAATTTAATGTGGACTAGGGTGGCAACCTTGACTATAGTCATGATTAAGAAGATTCCTCTAACTCTTTCAATATCTAAGATGTTATCTTGGGATCATAAGCTTCTAACAAGTGCAATGATGCTTCAAATAAATTTTAAGCTTTATAAAGTCCCTACCTGGACTTCTTCTCCTTTAGAAAAGTCTTAATCTTGACCTTATAAAGACAGTAACAGTTTAAAGATATACCATTCTTTACCTTTGATTTGGGATATATGCGGCATTCACCCCCTCCCAATCAAGGCAAAATCGATCATAAGGGGATTTGATTCGACCTTTTTCATACAAGTTAACATCATCGAGCAGCGCTATGACATATAAACTCGGATATATCATACATCCTTAGTGGATTCTCTCGACCTCTTCTATATAGGTTAATTTCATCAAGTAGTGCTCTTACATACAACCTCAAATAGGCTATACATACTTGGTGGATTCTCTCAATCTCTTCCATATAGGTTAATATTATCGAGTAGTGCCCTGACATATAATCTCAGATAGGTCATACATCATTGATGGATTCTCTTAATCTCTTTCATATGAGTTAACGTCATTAAGAAGTACTCTGACATACAACCTCGGACAGATCATACATCCTTAGTGGATCCTAACAACCTCTTCCACACAGGTTACCATCATAGAGTAATGCTCTGACAAACGACCTTTGATAATTCATATATCATTGGTGGATTCTCTTAACCTCTTCCATATTGGTTAATATCAGCGATAAGTACTCTGACATACAACCTCGGATAGGTCATACATCTTTGTTGGATTCTCTTGACCTCTTCCACACATATTACTATCATCGAGTAATGCTCTGACAAAAAATCCTCTGATAGTTCATACGTCTTTGGTGATTTTTCTCGGCTTCTTCTGTACAGATTATTGTCATCAAGCAATGCTTTGACAAATAATCTCGAATAGGCTCCTTGCTAAATTCTCTTGACCTCTTCTATATAGGTTAACATTATTAAGAAATTCTCTAAAAAATAATCTCGGGTATGTCATAAATCCTTGGTAGATTCTCTCAACCTCTTTTATATATATATGTTAATGTCATTAATCAATGTTGATCTCCTATGTTTTTCAACCTCTGTAGTCCAAGAAACTTATATCAGCTCAAATATTTCATAAGTAAAAGGAACAACATCTGTCATATCTAGAGGCTTGCTACCTGGAAAGGAATATATAAATGAATGGATACTACTTGAAGATTAATACGATGAGGATAAGAAAATGAGAAGAAGGGAGAAATAATATACTTGCAAAAATCCTCTTGGTTATTTGAAACTCACCTCCTATCAGATGAGTAAAAACCACCTTTTTGTGTACTATTTAGGGCAGCCTCATCTCTAGTGGATGAAATTCACTTCCCAATAGGGGAAAACAGCAACCAAAAGGTTTTGGTCTCCTCTGTTGTTATGTAGACTCTTAGCTGATAGTTTCCCCCCAATGAGAGTGAACTAGAGCCTGCATAAGAGTACTAGGTCTTCATCTCCTCAGTGGCCAGTATTTAGACTCTTGCAGGATAGTTTTTCCCCCTATAGGAGTGAACTAGATCCTGCGTAAGAGTATCGGGTATTGATCTCCTCTGCTGATATTATTTAGAATCTTGCTAGACAGTTTTTTCTCCAATATGAGTGGACTGGAGCCTGCGTAAGAGTATCAGGTCTTGATTGCCTCCGCCTCCAGTATTTAGAGTCTTGCCGGACAATTTTTTCCTCAACCAAGAGTGAACTGGATCCTATGTAAGAGAATCGGGCTGGGCTTTGATTTCTACCACTAGTATTTAAACTCTTGTAGATAGTTTTGCCCCTAATAAGAGTGAACCAGAGCTTGTGTAAGAGTGTCAAGCCTTGATTGTCGCTTCCAGTATTTAAACTCTTATCGAAAAGTTTTCCCACGCTAGGAGTGAATTGGAGACTGCTTAAGAGTACCAGGTCTTTATCGCCTCCGCCGCTGGTATTAAGACTCTTTCTGGATAGTTTTTTCCCCCACCAAGAGTGAATTGGAGCATGCATAAGAGTACCAGTCTTTGATTGATGCTGCTAGTATTTAAACTCTTGCCAGACAGCTTTTCCCCCAATGGGAGTGAATTAGAGCTTACGTAAGAGTATCGAGCCTTGATTGCCACTTCCAATATTTAAACTCTTGCCGGACAGATTTTGCCTTGCTATGAGTGAACTGGAACCTGCGTAAGAGTACCATGTCTTGGTCGCTGCCAAAAAGAAAATTTTAAATTTTTTCCAATCCAATTTCTCCTAATTTTTCAAGAGAAATTTTGAGACCAATTAAGATGCTTAGAATTGTTATTTATTAATTATCTATAATGATTATAGATTAAGGCTTCGTTTGGGATGGCCTTTTTGTTGCTTCTTAAGGGAGTTAAATTTTTGTACAAAAAAGTAGTTTTAAAAAGCAATAAAAAATCCGTCATAAATGAAGTTTAAGGTTTTGTTTGGGATGACTTTCTTACTGTTTCTTAAAGCAGTTTTGTAATACAAAAAATTATTTTTTTCTACTAAAAGACTGCTTCAAGAAGCAGTAAGAAAGCCGTTCTAAACAAATGTATTGATAACTTATGAGAAGGCTTAGTTTCTTTTTTTTTTTTTCTATCACTCACTCAGGCGCTTGATTTTGTGGTGAGTGAGGCAAAGGCGCATAATATCAGGTTGATACTGTCATTAACGAATAACTGGGAAGCATATGGTGGAAAGGCTCAGTATGTGAAGTGGGGAAGAGCTGCAGGCCTGAATCTCACTTCTGATGATGACTTCTTCATTGATCCCACTGTGAAAAGCTACTACAAAGCTCATGTTAAGGTGAGAAATCTTTTTATTTATTCTGAGAAAGATTTTTGTTAATGGAACATTCAGATCGAAAAAAAATTCGAATTAATAATCTCGCATAGAATAAAATAAATAGAATTATTATTTCTAGAATTTACAAGAAAGTTATTGTAGAGGTTTCAAATCATAATATCATCAAGGCTTCGTGTAAGACTATTTCTTACTACTTTCTAAAATGACTTTTTAGTACAAAATATATATAATTCAATAAATTTTTGCACTAAAAAATTAAGTTGCTTTCTAGCTATCTAAAACGAAGCACAATTGAAGCTCATGAAGCTTAATTATTTTTCAGGAATTAAAATTAATGAAATATGATAAAAATATTGTAGACTTAGTTGTAAGAATAATTATTGGCTTTTTATTTCTTATGCAATTAAGAAGAAAAAATTTAGAGACCAATTAGTAAACGTATCAACCTACCTAAACTAAGAGTAGCTTGTTTTAGAAGTTAAAACTCATAAAGGTCTTTTTCACTGTTTTGTCTTTTGAATTTCAACTATAATTCCATTTATTGCTATTATTTTTTTGCTGTTTATTCATTGCTCTCTATAAATCTTTATGATTAAAGGTTGTTTTTTATAATCAAAATTGTTAAGGTAGCTTTAAGAAAACAATTTTTTGGCTTTTTAAACAGAAAATATTTATTATATCCACAACAACTGAATTTAAAATAAAATTGTTTTCTCGGCAATAGTTTCCCAATAACAATTACAAGATGTTGCAGCCATCGAAAATAGGCTTTGTCGTAGTATTATAAATATGTTTTTTTAAATTAAATTACTAATTTCTTAAAGCTAATATATATCAACAATTCTGATTGTAAAGAGCAACTTGCCACTACATAAATTAATGAAAAGCAATGCGAATGTAACAAAAAAGCAACACGAAAGCAAAAAAAAAAAAGTTAAACAAAATTATAATATTATCTAAAAACACCGGTGAAAAAGATATCTCTAACATGGCTTAAACGTTATAATTTCCCATCACGCTAAGGGCATCTCCAACAGAGAACTCCATTTTTCACGGCAAAATACAACTAAACTCTAAAATGCCGTGGTGTTGCTCCAATCGATTTCCATTTTAAGTACCTCTCAGAATATAACGATCCTTCTTCCTTTCGCGCGTTTTTTCGGTTGAGAGAGAAAAATAGCGTAGGTGAACAGTGCAACGCCAATATTGGCGTCGCACTGTTCACCTGCAAGTAAATGGTGGAAGATTTGGCGTTCGGCTGGAGTGACTGAACGACGCCATACGCACGTTTGGGGTTCCGTTGAAGATGCTCTAAGAGATAATAGAAATTCAAAATAAATTTCTTAGCCCGGGTGTTACAGAAGACAGTAAGATTTTAAAGAAGGAACATCCACTCTTGTTAATTATCTCATTAAAAAAAAACTGAAATTTGAAAGAAACTAGTCTTGATGTCTATACTTTATTAGTTTGACATGTTGCCGCATATGCAAAATCATGTTAAGTTAAAGATTTATTTGGGTGATCAGACGGTTCTCAATAGAGTTAATACATTCACAAACATCACATACAAAGACGACTCAACAATATTCGCATGGGAATTAATGAATGAACCTCGCTGCCTTGCTGATGCTTCAGGCAACAACCTACAGGTAACTATTTCTGGTTTCTATCCTGTAGCAATCCATCATCAACTATTGACAAATCATTTTCAGGCATGGATAGAAGAAATGGCATTCCATGTAAAATCGATTGACTCAAAGCATCTAGTCGAGATTGGGCTTGAAGGCTTCTATGGAACCTCGACGCCTGATCGTCTTCAGTTCAATCCCAACACCTTCGCCTGTCAAGTCGGCACCGACTTCATAAGGAACCATCAAACACTAGGCATCGACTTTGCAACAGCCCACATCTACCCAGATGCCTGGTACTTAATAAACAACAACAATAATCAGGGGCGGAACCCCTATGAGGCCGGCCCCCTCCCCCCCTCAAAATTTTTTTTTTATTATACGATTCTTTAGATAATTTATGTCCCTTAATCTATTTTTTTAGTGTTTATTACGAGGATTTTTAGGCAATTACCCCCCGTAAAAGTATAAAAATACTATAGTCATTAAGCAATTTCCCCCAATATAATTAACACATTGTGTAAATGTGTTATTGTTAGGGAACGATGAACAAAATATAAAGAGAAATAGTAAATCAAATTTTGTTCCGGGGGCGCTTCCCCCTTGGACCCCTGACATATCTACCAACAGTTACTTATACGTTTGTCCCCCCTAAAAGTTATGGCTGGCTCCGCCCCTGTCAATAATAATAACATAAGAGAGAATTTTTAGCTATAGATTAATCGGTTCTCTCTTCATACAGGATATCAAATACGATCTCGGACTTGCATCTCCAATTCACCGAGTCCTGGATGCAGAGCCACATTGATGATGCAGAGGATTTGCTCGGAATGCCGGTGGTGTTCGCAGAGTTCGGAGTGTCTGACAAAGATAAGAACTTCAGTGTTAGTTTCAGGGATCAGTTCATTGATATGGTTTACAAGAACATTCTGAACTCTGCAAAGAGAGGAGGGAGTGGAGCAGGTAGTCTTCTATGGCAGCTATTCCCAGAAGGAACTGATTATATGGATGATGGCTATGCAGTGGTTCTTACGAAATCTATTTCTACATCAAATATTCTGTCTCTGCAGTCAAGGAGGATACAGATGTTCAATTCAAAATGTTCATGGAGGTGCCACTGGGGTTGCAGAAAGAAGAAGAGCTCAGTGGATGGCTTGTTTTCTCAGCATAATCAACTCTGATGGAATATTTGAATGTAAAGGTTATTGTGTGCAATGAATATTTTAATTAAAGATTTGTGGGTACGAATCACATTATAAAAGTAAACAAGTCATGTACATGTTCTATTGTATAGATTGATTACATGCATGTTTTTTATGCATTCATAATTTTATGAGTAGAGTTTATAGTTATATCAAACAAAATGCATGAAAGAAAAATTGAAAACAAAGACTCGACGAATCCACGTCGAGGATCCGGTGACGGGACCAAGAACTCCTTGGGGGAGAGGGATCACCACCTGAAATCCTTCAGGATACAGAAACCCAAAAAGAGTAAAATTACTCAATTTTTATTCATCTCAAAATCTATCTATTACATGACATTGGCTACCTATTTATAGCCCAAAAGAAGGAACATACTAGGCTACACAAAACAAAAGAAAGCATTTCACCTCTATAGCCCTATAACTACTAAATGGACTTAATATAGCCTGAAGTTTAATACAATTGACGTCTCAGCTCCGGCGTCATACTACCGGGGTAGGAGGAACTTCAGGCTCATAGGAAGATGTCCGGCTGGCCACAAGAAGGAGGCGGATTTGGTTGGCTAAACCGGTCTAGATATTTCCATCTGGTGTCATTTGCCTCGTCTAAGAGAGACTTTAGTATAGACTGAAGTCGATGAAAGTTGTTGATGAACTTAAGGGTTTTGTTCTTTTTCTTTTCTTTCTTTTCACCAGAAATTTTGATACTTTTGCCTAAAGGCCAAGCTTCAAAGTTAAACCTGAATGAATGTACCTCATATCCTTGAATCATGTGGCTAATCCGGGTTGCCTTTGGCCAGCTCTCATTACTAATAAGTTCCTTAGCAGCTTTGCAAGCATCTTTCCTCTCTTCCAATTCTGTTACTCGACCAATCCAATCATGAATCTCAACACCATTATCCAATAAAGAGCACTGATTGTTTTCAAGCATTACCTTTGAAAGCAATCCTTTTTCCAACTTCAACTGATCATCATTGATGTTATGCGGGCCTTCCAGCTTGCTATCATCATTAAAATCATATGCAAGTTGCTTAAGATCAAGAACTCCACTGATCATGTCGTCATCATACACATCGTACATGGGTTCATCGTAGAGAGGCACAAACGATGATTTCGACAACGAATCTTCAAATCCTTTGAAGCTGAACTCGATCGAGGGTGGAGTGGAAGAGATTTGATCATCTGCAATGCCCTCGTCGTCGTCGTCGGTTACTAAGGATTTTGTTGGAACGAAGGATCTTGAAGCCATTGTGGCAGCATACTTGCCTCGGACACCATTACAATCCCGGCCAAGGGACCTCAAGTTTTCCCTTCGTTCAATCTTTGATAGTCGTAGTTTGAGTCGTGCCAATTCTTGTAAAAGATCTTCGATTTCTTCATCTTGATGTGACCCCTTCCATGTCCATTGGGAATGCATCTTTCTCGGTTCTTCAAGAACCAATTCAAAACAGCAAGAAGGCCTTCAATCAAAGCCCTGTTCTTCTTTGTCTTCGCCCAGTTGCTCCGCCGACTCACCCGACCCGATCGGCCTCGAATGCTGCGGCAAGCTCGGCGTGCTTCAGCTCGCGGACAACTTCCGCATTCTTGCCTTCACATACAGGTGTTAACGTTGCCCACGAAAAGGGCACCTCTCCCAAGAACAGAGATCAATCGTACGTTCCCTGGCAAGGTTCACGTGCAAAGGCTGGATGAAGCTTTTCTCTTGAAGTCCGCCTTGAATGGAATGGCTAATGACTTGCGGACAGGATTTGAGGGAACAAATATTGTATTAAACAACCCTCTCTATTCCAGGAAGTGGACAAAAAGCCTTCAGGAAGAAGATCTTGATGTTCGGACTCCTTCAAAGCTTCTTCGCCAGGGAAAAAGGAGAATCTAGTTTCTATTTTTGCGAAATGAGAGAGAGGAGGGCGTCGAAACAAATTATGCCGACAAAACGTCAAGGAGCTGCCGTGACGCCCGTATCTTGCCGGACTCGGAGGAGACTTCGCGGTCACGAGAACGAAAATCACACAGGGAAGGCGATACAATTGTGAATTACAATTGTTCGTCTCACTGGAACGATCGGCTGCTTGATTCGTCGAAATCTTGGAATCCAGAGCCACACGAGAACACCACCACCAAATGACGCCGACGACGGAGGCAATACTGCAATCAACAAGAACGCCAGCAACTTGCCGGCTCTGATACCAAATGACACCGGCCAGGTTGGGGTCTCGACGATTCCACGTCGAGCATCCGGTGACGGTCGCCGGACACAACTCCAAGAACTTCTTGGAGTAAAGATCCACCACCTAAGAATAACTCTTAGGATACAGGAAACTCATGAGACTAACTCAAAATTTATTCATATCAAAAATCTATCTATTACATGACATTGGCTACCTATTTATAGCCCAAAAGAAGGAACATACTAGGCTACACAAAACAAAAGAAAGCATTTCACCTCTATAGCCCTATAACTACTAAATGGACTTAATATAGCCTGAAGTTTAATACAATTGACGTCTCAGCTCCGGCGTCAAGTATTGCTGGAAAAAATAAAGAAGCGCAGCAGAAAGCCGGAAACCCTCGATCTCCTCTTCTCTTCTTCCTACTTCACTCTTCAATCATCTTCTCTGCTTCGCTGATTTGAATGCTGATCTGCTGGCCAGTAATGAGCATAAGAAAGCAGGCTTCGAAGCTCCCAGGAGGGGCATCCCTTCTTCATCTTCAACTCCATTATCACTATCTGAGCCCACTATCTGAGCGGGATATTTGGTCGCCGGGACCGCCTCCTCCGTCGCATTTACAGTTGTTAGAAGCTTGCGCAGGCGAGTTGCAGTGCCAGCTCAATCTATCTCGTGTAAAGAATCAAGAAAGCACACTCAACAGTACTAGAAATTAGAAAGGCAGAGTTCAGAAACCAAAAGAAAAAGGTTGGGGAAGAAGCAGCAGAGGATGCGGATACTGATGGCAAAAACCATCTCAATTTATTGAAAGATCAACGGCTGTGATAATGAGGTTTAAGTTCTACGGCCATGATGAATCCCCACCAATGTTTGTCCTGGTAACAGGCAGCGAATTAACAAAATAATGGTGTTTGGAGTACTGCCTTCCACGTGGCTTAATGTTCTCCAGTTCACCACGTGGAGAACAAATGGGGCGGGTCACGGTAGTTTAAGTTTAGAACTGGTGGGAGGTTTCTCTTTTTTTTTTTTTTTTTTTTTTAAAAAAT